CTAATGGTACTTTCGTCGGATTCTTGGCTAATTCCTGACATTTCGTACATCTTCGTATCAAGTCTTCGCAATCTTTGCCGATATTCGGCCAATAGACGTAGCTTTGAGCAAGTTTCTTCATCCTTACAATCCCTGGATGACCACTATGTAGTTCCGTCAGAACATTTCTTCGAAGCTCCTTGGGTATCACAACCCTTTCGGCTGACATCAGACATTGCTCCACGATTGACAATGTCTCTCTCCGATTTCGAAAATGTGCCAATTCTCCATTCACTTCTGGCCAATTTTCTTTCTGCAAATAAGTGAGTACTCTTCTAAGTACTGGATCTTTCTTCGTCCAAGTTTGTACATCAGATACCGTTACTGGCAGTTTCCTTATGCAGCTCTTCAGCATGTAGCCAACGTCGTTCTCAACGGCAGCTATCACGACATCTTCTTCGGGATTCTGATTCTTCTTCATCAACCTTGACAAACCATCTGCTTGTCCAAACTTCGTAGTTTTGACATATTCTATGTCGAAGTCATATCCAAGTAGAATTGTAGCCCATCTCATGAGTCGATTCGCGGAGTAGACTGGAACTCCCTTTTTATCACCGAAGATGGCTAACAGTGGTTGATGGTCCGTCAGCAGTAGAAACTTCCGTCCGAATCTGTACTTGTGGAATTTCTTGACAGCAAAGACAATTCCCAATGCTTCTTTTTCGATCTGCGAACAGTTCTTCTCCGCTTTCGTAAGAGACCGCGATGCATGTGCAATTGGCTTTTCGGATCCATCGGCATATCTATGCGATATCACGCATCCGATCCCATATTCGCTAGCATCCGCTGCCACGACAATCTTCTGCCTTGGATCATAGTGAGCAAGGTTCAGCTCACTTGACAAACTCTTCTTGAGCTTTTCGAATGCTTCTTGATGTGATCGAGTCCATTCCCATTTCGAATCCTTCTTCAGCATCGCATCCAATGGCCCACGGAGATCCTTGATCTTTGGCATGAATGCAGCATAGTAAGTTACCATGCCAAGGAAAGCTCTTAACTGACTGACATTCTTCGGCTCATCCATGTTCTTGATTGCTTCGATCTTCTCTAAATTCGGCCGTCTGCCATTTCTGTCCACTATGAAGCCAAGATATCGTATATCTGGCTTGCCAAAGGAACATTTTTTTAAGCGGATCCTGAATCCATAATCGGCTATTCTTGCGAAAACAGCTAGCAGATTCTTCATATGTTCTTCTTCGGTTCGTCCACAAACCAATATGTCGTCCAGGTAGGTTGCTACACCTTGCAAACCGCTTACCATCTTATTCATTATCTGTTGGAAGATCCTCGGTGCCGTCTTTATACCAAAAGGCAATCTATTGTACTGGTACAATCCTCTATGCGTATTGATCACGACCATTTTTTTTCGCTTCTTCTGACAACTCGATCTGCAGGTAGGCGTCCGACAGATCTATCTGCGAAAATATTGTACCTCCATTGAGCGATGCGAATATATCCTCCGGCAATGGCAAAGGGTAATCATATGATTCCAGCGCTTTGTTGAGTCCAGTTGAGAAATCAGCACATACTCGCAACTTTCCATTCGCTTTCCTAACACAGACGATGGGAGCTGCCCAATCACTATGTGTCACTGGACTTATGACGCTTAGCTCCAACAGCCTATCAAGCTCCTTTTCGACGGCTTCGAGCGCAGCATGGGGAACAGGCCTACAAGCCTTGAATACTGGACGAACGTTTTCATCAATTTTCAGGTGCGCTTTCTCCTTTGTGCAGAGTCCTATACCTTCTTCGCATACTTCTGGGTAGGCTTCCTTTAGCTTCAAAGCGATGTCATTGGTTTGCTCTGTCTTCACTTCCGCAACCATTCTGCTTAAGTGATAAGACATATCTTCGTTCTTCTGGATCCATTCAAGTCCTAGCAGTGAGCTGTGAGGCGTCACGTATGCGTAGCCTTCGCTTCTGGATCCTTTGATTTCGTACTCACACCATAACTTTCCATGGACTTTCATGGAGCCTCCACTAGCGTTCTTGACGATCACGCTTGTTTCCTCCAGCAGTGGAGCACCCATGCTTCTCCAGATTGCTTCGTTTAGCAAGGTGATATCTGATCCTGTATCCAGTAAGAAACTAACTGGATGACTATTAACTTTCGCTTCCACATATACGCGAGTCGAATTCACTTCCATTATTGCGTTCGCAATCTTCGCAACACTATGCACTTGGCGTTTTGGTTTCGTCCAACTTCTGTTTTTGCTGGTATCGCTGCTTCTGTGGATTCTTCGTTTCGAATCTTGCTGAACAAGTGCTTTTCTCTCCGCCACTTGTTCGCAATACTTCTCCTTGTGGCCTGTCTTCTTGCACTTCTTGCAATACCACAGCTTCGCTTTGCATTCCCTGGCAAAGTGAGCTTTGCCACAGTTCCAGCATTCCAGCTTCTGGGGTTCTTCCTTGCTTGTTGCTTCGACAATCTTCGTGCAACCAGCCACAGTCTCGCTATCCTTCTTGAGACTAAGGAAGTTTTCGCACTCGAGGTACAATTCCTGTAGCGACATCTTTCGTCCAGCCTTGTACTCCTTGTCCAGTACGGCTATGAGTCGTTGCCTGATTTCGGCTTCTTTTTGGCTCTTCGGGCCAAAAATCCATAAAAGACATTTGATTCCATCGCTATCTAAGTCGTGAATCTTCGCTTTTTCGCACAGTTCGTTCACTCGACCGGTATACATGAGGTAATCTTCGGAATCCGCCTTCTCCAGTTTCAAGCACTGGTATCGCATAGTGAACTCCGAGATCTTCACGTCGAACAGCTGCTTCAACGTTTCGACAGTTTCTTCGAACTTGATCGCGGTTACCTCCTTCGGTAGCACATGCCTCTGGTATTTTCCGAAGCTGTCCTTGTCCAGTTTCTCGCAAAGTAGCCTCACCCTCGCACTTTCCGTGAGCTGCTTCGCATCTTCGACAAAAACGTCCTTGTAGCGCGCATACCATTTACTGAAGCACATGTCCGCTTCGGGGTCGAAGTAGAATTTTTCGATCCTACTGCTGAGGGCGGACATCACGTTCGGAATTTCGACTGAGCTACCGCTTCGTCCTGTGATGTGCTTCAGAAGCTCCATCATCTCTCTTCGTTCCTCTCTCATCTCTTGGAGCAGGATCAGCATCTCCTCTGAACTCATCTTCGCTATGCTGATCTATCAATTCGTCTTGCTGCAACTTGACCGTTCTCTGCAGTCTCTTCGATTCGAATCCCCGGTGACGTCTTCGTGGTTTCGGCTACTTCTTTGATTAGTAGCCGCCGCTCCTGATCGCCACTGTTGTGTCCTCCACGTCGGACACGTCGACTCTTCGTCCTGAGGCAGCACACGAGAGGAACACGAAAATTTATTAGAAAATAATGGAGAACAGTAAAATAATAGAGGCGATGAGTGAACAGTCGAACTGACAATGGCTAACAGCGAGCACCTTTTATAGCGCTCATTTCCCGCGCATTGAGGTCGCAGGCGCCTCAGCGAGGGCAGATCATACGAGAAAACAATTGATCAGACATTAACACAACAGTTTGCTTGGAAGCCGTTAAAAAAAGTGCCTGGGTGAAGGGTGTGCCTAGTGATTTTTGGGGATTTTCGAGTTTTTAACATAAAAATACGCCGAGATAGTCACCATTAAAACCATCTCGTCCTCCGCTTTCAGAAAATATGTACTTTGCCTAGGCTCCTAAAAAGTGCCTGGTGAAGGGTGGGAGAGAATTTTATAATGGGAGTGCTAAAGTGGAGGCTTTTTTACCATTGTAAAAAGACGTTTACTTGAGCACTCCCATTATAAAAATCTCACCCACCCTTCACTTGGCACTTTTTCTAACGAAGCCCAGGGAAAGTATATATTTTCTGAAGGCGGAGGACGAGACGGTTCCAATGGTATCATCTCGGCGGAAAAGATTCATTTACAAAAGTTGTGAATTTCATGTTAAAAACTCGAAAATCTTCAGAAATCACTGAGCACACTCTTCACCCAGTTATTGGACGGATCTCAGACATACTACAAATCATCTGAAAACGGAGGAGGAGGCGGTTTCGATGGTCATTATCTCCTTGTACTAGCTATTCATCTATAAAATATGTGATTTTTTATGTTGAAAAACCCGTAAGTGTCCAGAAATCACTAAGCACAACTTTCATTAGGTACTTCTATGAACGGACTTTAGGCAAACAATTTATTCTCTGAAACCAGATGGGAACGTTATGGGAACCTTCCTCGCTGACTTGCTGTGCAGCTACAGAAGCAACTATTTTTTTCCTCCTGGAAGTACATGAATGCCTATAAATATTCTTCCTCCTTTCCGATGCACAAACAATATCCGTACAAATGTCTCTTTTGCTTAACCTTACCTCACTGTTGATTTCGAATTTTGGTGAAGGGGTCACCTTGGCCCCGACTCAGGGGTGAAAGGGGGGGGGGGAGCAAATTCTCACATTATCGCACCTATGGTGAATACGTGTCTGATGTAGATCTAGCGTGTAGCATGAGTAAGAGATTTTCAAGGTTTTTTTCATATGGACGATTTATTTTCGGTTTTTGAGGCATTTGAAGCCTTTCAAAAATCTTCAAACTTCACGCACATCAAACCTGATACGGATATTTGACGTATAATGTAATTCACGCTTTGCTCTATCAGATGCTACCTCACTCACTTTTTGCTGCTCACTCTGCCGCGATTTTGCGTGATAGCAGAGGATGCGACATTATTTTGGGATAACTCAATATATTCCACAAGCACATTGGATGTTCATAAGATCTAGTTGAACAGAGATTCAATTCTCGAACACTTGATTTTTTCTCGAATTATCGGTGCGAGTGTCCCAACGTCATTTTGTATAGCTTGCTTTGCTTTATCGGACGATATTTTTTAAGCTTTTCTAGTACTCCGTCACAAGTATAAGGATTGATATGTATTACCAACAATAGGCAAGCAAGCGTCCCACTGAGAAGCGACATGAATGAAGAAATCAAAGATACGCTGATGCTGTAGTAAGTGGAGTAGCAGAACGTAGTGGTCGCGTATGAAAGACAGTGTGGGATTTTCTGGGCTTTGACGGCGACAGCTGAAAAGTTATTTTTGAACACTTCTAATGCTTCCGTAGTGCTACAAGTAGAAGGGATAGGAGAAATTGGTACCTTCAATAATGAGAGGATCAACCGTCGAAATTCTTTGTTGAATGCTATGATGATAACTCTAAAATTCATGCTTGTGAAATCTAACCTTGATAGCATCTCAAAAGGATTGTTATAACAGTTATCACAATGTTTCTTTCATATCAAAATCTTACGGATCAATCAAGTGCAGCAGATTCCATGCGACAGCTGTAAACGCCCATATCATCCATTTGCTATCAGATACCATGGAGAAAAATGCTACGCACGAGATTTGCACCGCAAAAGCTGCAGCTTGGGCTACAGCCTGCAAAGGAAGTATAATACTGATCTTCAGTGTTGAGCCTACATGTTGATAGCATGAAGTTGGACGATCACCTGCTTCAATAGTTTGAGTTCCATCAAATGGTTCGCATAAACTTCGCCACTCATATTTTTCGTCTAAACTTACGAAAAACTTTTGTTGTAAATCTGCGAATACTGTTGAGTACTCACTGCTTTTGCAGTGCGTCTCACTGCTATTATAGTTGCTAAGTCAAACAATAACGTTAAGGCTAGGATGGTGAAGTCTTTGGAAGAGTAGAGATTACGAGCTTCAAAGCAGAATGTTCGCTGAAAAGGCACGTATAATAAGAAAAAAAATTCAAAGGAGAAAAGCTACCTCATTTGAAACAAAAGTGAACGTATAAAATTCATCTTTGTACATAAATGAGCAACCACCTGAAACAATCCAGTATGGCTGATGTAGACTGTATAGTAAGCTCAACTGTATTGCAAATAAAAAAAAGCAGTCCCTACTTTTCTTCGGATCTTAGACATTCTCCTGACAACTTATCAGTTTGATTTGATTGATCTAATTTGATCTAATGACCGTCAAAATTATGGGGGGGGGGGGGGGGAGAGGGGAGGTGGAGGGGAAAGGAAGGGAGCGGAGAGCTCCCTACAAGAATGCTTCGCAAAATTTTTAAAAGTGGTCTTCAAAAGCTCCAACCTGCAAGTACTCAATTTGTTTCGCAAATCAGTAAATGCTGAATGTAGCTTTGTAGGGATGTTGTTGTGGCTTCAAAGATCCCATCCCCCTTAGCTTATTATTTGCGGACTGTTAACGTCACAATATGTTAAAAAACTTACCTCCCCCCATCTCCTCGTCTCTCGCATAAAGGAAGTTTTGAAATGCAACGGCTTCATTTTTTTGTTTATTTCCCGATAAAAAATCTACAGCTTACTGATAAAAATTTCTACGTGATGTATTTGTAAGATAAAAAAGTTGCTTTTTTGATCAAGAACATTCATAAATGAACGTGTTTCCTCTAGGAGTGTTTCGCCAATTACTATGTAATGTTCTACTGAGGGTATAAGCAGAGCTAGTCTAATGGTTAGTGCTCTACGTAACATTGCCGTGCTGAAGGTCACGGGTTCGATTCCACCCTGAGCGTAATTTCTGCGGGGAAAACTCTGCTCACAATACCAGCGTCAGGCTGCCCTTCCAAAGAAGGGCATGCGACAAGCCGGCTGAGAAACACCCTGTCGCATCATAAATGCAGACATGTCTCATAAAGTACCTCGAGTGAAGGCTAGGGCATCCCCCGGAGGCGACGCGCATTCTAGGCCGACGAATGCGAATAGTGGGTTACCGTCTCAGCAAGGTGAACGGGGACAGCCAAAGCGGCTAGTTCACCAGTGGCAACGAACCAAGGCATCGCAGACTCTCCGTCTAGCTACCATCAATATGGGTACACTCACTTCTCGTTCTCGTGAGTTAGCAGATCTTCTGAAAAGGCGGCGAGTCGATGAAGCCTGCATACAGGAAATAAAGTGGAGCGGGGCAAAGTCACGCGACATCGGAGATGGATATAAGCTCCTGTACAACGATGCCACTTGCACCAGAAACGGGGTTGGTATAGCTATCTCGGAGACTCTACGGAACAATATAGTTGACGTTGAGCGCACAAGATCGTCTGATGAGCATCAAGATAGACAAGATACACTGGGAAACAGGTCCTACGAGTAATCACCGCCTATGCGCCACAAGTCGTATGTAAGGATGACGAAAAGGACGCGTTCTGTCAGAAGTTGGATGACCACATCAGCTCAATTCCACTGGATGAGACACTCCTGCTAGGAGCGGACCTCAACGGGCATGTGGGAAAAAGGCGAGGAGAAGCCGGGAATTGTCACGGAAGCCACGGATACGGAACATGCAATGAAGAAGGTGAGCGCATTCTGGAATTCGCCTCAGCTCATGACCTGGTCCTGGCGAACACATACTACATCAAGAAGGATGATCACCTCATAACATATGCGAGTGGCGATCGACGAACACAGATAGACTTCTGGGCTATTCGACAGCGTGACCTCAAAAACGTAAAGGACTGCAAAGTCATTCCCGGTGAAAGCTGCATACCTCAACACAGGCCACTGCTTCTCGACATCGAATCCCAACGGATAGCACACTAGGAGCCACAAAGACCAGGATACGCATCAAATGGTGGAGATTGAAAGGCAACAACGCGGCGAAACAAACACTGCTAACAACTCTACCACGCTTGCAAGATAACCCAGATCAATCCTGGGAAAGCTTGAAAGATCGAGTCCACGAAGCGGCACATGTGATTCTGGGATGTGCGAAGCCAGGAAAATGAAGGTTCAACCGAGAAACGTGGTGATGGAATGAAGAAGTGCAAAAAGTCATAAAGGAGAAGAGGAATGCGTACAAGCGATGGCATAAGACGAAATCGGAGGACGATCGTCAGACGTACCAACAAGCTAAGCACGCTGCGAAGGCTTCCGTAAAGAATGCAAAACAGGTGTACTTGAAAGAGGTCTACGATCATCTAGAGTCTCGCGAGGGAAAACGTGAGATATACCGGATAGCGAAAAGAAGAGAGAAATCCACAAAATATGGAACACTTCCTCCATATCAAAGACAAACTTGGTAGGTTACTAAGAAAACCAGAGGACATCACCGAGAGATGGAAAACCTACTTGAAGAAATGGCCACTACAGACCGCACCACCATCAACTCCATCTCAGAAGCCGGTCCCATACAAAGACCTGTACCAGCAGTCACGGAAGAGGAAGTATGGCTAGCCATAAGAAGAACAAAGAATGGCGACTGATCCAGACGACATATCAAGCAAATTCTGGAAAATACGTGGAGAATCCGGAGCCACATGGCTATCTCCTCCAAATCATAAGGAGCAAGAGTATGCCTCGGGATTGGTACACCAGCACGACGATCCCGATATGGAAGAACAAAGGAGACATAGCAGACTGCTCATCCTACTGACCAATCCGACTAATGAGCCACACTCTAAAAATCTTCGAGCGAATAATCGACGCGCGCCTTCGAGATATCATAGAGTTGTCACCGAATCAGTGCGGGTTCGTAAAAGGAGCAGGTGCAAGTGACGCAATCCACTCCGCCCGGATAGTGATGGACAAGTGTAGAGAGAAACAGAAGGAATTGCACATGCAGCCTTCCTGGACCTGGAGAAAGCTTTCGATAAGGTGCCTTATGGAGTCATATGGTGTTTCTTATGGAAACACAGGGTGCCAGAGGAGTACGCTCAGTGGATAAAGATGATCTACCACAACGCTTCAAGCCACGTGCAAACAGCTGCAGGGCAATCGAAAGAATTCCAAATCAAGGTCGGAGGCACCAAGGTCAGTTCTCTCTCCCTTGGTCTTCATCACTGTGATGTACGCCGTGATGGAACCGCTAAAACGCGATCCTCCTTGAACATTTCTCTACGCAGATGATGTGGTCTTGATAGCAAGTGCCAGAAAGGAGCTACAAAACGTGGTACAAAGCTGGAAGAACAGGCTAGATTTGTATGGCTTGAAGCTCAACATCAAGAAGATAGAGTATATGGAAGTAGGGAAACAGACTTCTGGTACTATAAGCATCGATGGTGAAGAGCTAAAGAAGACAACGTCATACAAGTACCTAGGCACTCACATCTCAGCGGAGGGAGGCTTACAAGAGGAGGTCGCAAGCAGGATGAACACAGCATGGATGAAATGGAGAGCCTTAACACGAGTTCTGTGCAACACAAGAATGCTAGTGCAACTCAAGTCCCGACTGTACCGGACCGTTATCCGCCCAGCAGCACTGTATAACAGTGAATGCTGGCCGTGCACGCGCGTCGAGGAGGCAAACTCGTCATGGAAACAAGGATGCTACGATGGACCTTAGGATTCACACTAAAGGATCACATCTGCAATGACACTATACGAATGTAAATGAAAGTACCAATTGTTCAGAAAATGCAGGAGAAGAGGTTACGATGGTATGGGCATGTGCGCAGAAGGGATGAAAGTCACATCACGAAGTCAGCCCTGGCTGTGGAGGCGTCAGGCAAAAGACCCAGAGGTAGACCCAAGATGAGGTGGATGGACAGAATCAAGGCCGATCTGCGAGAACTTGGTATAGATAAAGACCTTGCCTCAGATAGGACGACATGGAGACGTCTGACAGAAAAGCAGACCCTGCGTAAGCGGGACACATGCGAGGATAAAAAAAAGTTCCACTGAGGGTATAGGCGCAGAATGACTTGCACTAACCAATTTTGGGCATAAGAAGGATCTAGAGCAGAACTTCATATAGTAGAAATTTCATTGCAATGGTGCAACTGTTTTGACTTTGCTAGAAGATGGTGCAAATAAATGAACGTGGTGAAGACAAAAGCTAACAGAACTTTTTGCAAGACTCTTACTGATTTTATCAATTCTTGCAAACTTTTGACTGGGAATCTTGTATTAAGTATTCGAAATGATCAAAATGATTGGTCATTGTGATCAGAGAACTGCTCTGTAAGTCAGTATCTACATCATGGAAATAATTGTATGCAATAGGGATGACCGGAGTCTGGTAAGTCCGTCCATAATACGAAGTTGATATTGAAGCAATAAGCAGAGTTTTATTTTTTTCCTTCACGAACAAACAAGTGTCCCATAAAACTAACTGTATGAGTTTATGAAGACGGTCGAGAGTGCTGCCACCGTCCAAGTAACAATCACCATAGCATTGGTGTTAGAGACACTGTAATAGACAGTACATAATTATAAAACATTTTTTCTGCCATTCCTTCCTCATGCATGAATTTAGAGTTAGATGAAGGGCCACATAAAACAGTTTTCAACAACGTGTAACTTGCTCTCATTCCACTTCGTACTTCTGTGAAATTGTAAAAGCCATCGCATGTACTTATAGCAGGGAGAAGTAACTGGATACCCTAATACCGTCTATTCAGCGGTTAAAACCATATTTTTGCCTGCTAATACTGTGTGCACTTGCTTCGAGTTCGTACACGCATGGTGCAGGTTGTAGCTAAGTAAACACAAGCATTTGGCAAAAAAATTTGCCGGTCGTGTCTAAGTGTAGACCGTCACAACTATTATGATTTTCCAAGAAAATAATAGAATTAACATATGTCTTTAATTTGTTCAATGATTTGAACCCTGCACTAAAACAAAATCCCTTCGAAAAAAAGATAACGTTTGCCGCAATTACTTTCATTATGGTAAGTGCAACAGATGCAATTAGTAACTAAAGAACCGCAAATGAAGGTCCGCTTGAGCCACAGAAGCAGACTTAAACGGCAAGGGGGAAAGAACAACTCCAAAACCACCTTCCTAAATGCAGTGTAAGCTTCGGGGCATTTCAGACTAGATTGGTCCATATGAGGAACTTACTCATTCAACAGTCTAGCATTTAAATACATCCGTGAAATATCACAGAAAGCAGAAAATTAAGAATCAGTGATTTTTGAATAAATAGATAGAACACACCTGAAAATAATATCATAGCGCGTTGGTGCGCATATAGCACACAATCTATTCAAGGCAATGAGAAGGTGGGATAGACTGCAGATGCTATAAGTGGCACTAAGAATAACTCCGGCGTAGTTTGACTTGTCCATCATCGCAGAAATGTCACTGAATCAAAAAACTAGGGAAAGAATTCTGAGTTTGGGAACAATTCACAAATGCTGGTGGAATTCATTTGCCAGATCAAGATGCTTTTCTTTCTGAAGTCGTGTATGTAGTGGCAAAGGTAACTGTGCTTAAAAGAAAATGAAAATTCCAAACAAGCTATCCCATCGGACTCGCCTTGAAACGCCGATTCAAATATGTGTAGTAATCTGCAAAAGGACTAAATGGTGGGAGTTGAAACGCTTGGATGTGCGTAGTCAGGTACCCTATAGCGCAGTTGCATGAAAAATGCTTCAAAAGCTCTTATTTAGATTTTAGGTTCTGAATGCGCTTATTCCTCCTAATTGTAATCATAGGCAACCCCTCGCTGACTTGCAACGACGATATGTTGGGACTCTAATAATTTCTTATATCCAAACGCCCATAACTCATTTCAAATAGATGGTCGGCAAAATAAACATACGTTTGAATCAGCGTTTCAAGGCTAGCCCGGTAACAACTTTGATATGGCTGGGTTAAGTCCTGACCTTTCCTCTTAGCTCAAGAGCAAAGTTTCCGAATTACTCACAAGAAGACCATTAATGTGTAATAGAAAATGTACATGGAACAAAACACAGCTTCCCCAGCGGCTTGGCTGACTGAAAGCCGACCGAATGCATTTTTCAGAGAAGTCACTCTGCTAGCAAAAATAGCTACAGTCATATTGAGAATCAATCCATGTAGTGACATCTGAAAACAACTATGTTTTAGTTGATGAAACTTACATTTTTTCAAAACTTTAGCAATCACCAGGAATATCACAGCAGCAGCAATCCATCTCTCGTCCATCTTTGCTCTTTCTCGGTTGTTTGGTCAGAGTTATATTGAGTCACGCACGGCTCGCCTATTGAAATTACGATTCTATCCTTATCTGAACACAAATATGTATGGTGAAGGATCAAGAGCATAGGTAGCGAAAATCATAAAAATTGTTTCGTTGATGTAAACAAGTTAGCTTAGTAGCAACAAGACAATATGATAAAACAAAAACTGCTTCTTCTGTAGACTCGCTCAAAACAAGCGACAGTCCGAATCCGATATGGAAGGTCTGGTAGTTACAAAAATTGTTTCAATTTGATTCATGATTAGGTCGTTTCTGCGAGATTGAAGGATTACTGGAATCAGCACTTAGGAACAAGCAAGCATTAGTTCAACAAAACATGCCCTTCGCAATTAGATATGGTGGATTATGCAGGTCCAAAAGTATGTATACACTGTTTGATTGTTTATATTTCTCTTCCCAATAGGACCTTTGCCTACCTTCAAATGCCATTTCGTGGAGCTGACTCAACTTAGATTAACAGTACAAGCGAATATCGAACAGAAGATCGAATAGCGAACAAAGCACTTATCGTTCTACATCACTGCCGGGTTTCGTAGAAATTTCCAGCTTACAGCTGAGAATTATCATATTTCAAAAAGTTCGCAAAAATTTTGAGAAGTAGTCTTGAATTTTCAATCGTGCTGATTTCATTGCTTAATTAGCTACGAGTTTGTGGAGCTTTTCAGTTGTTGTAATCACAATTATAGAGAAAACTGTAAGAAAGCTGCGGTTCACCTAGCACAACTTGTAATGGAATCACTGCGGTGAGGTGCAAAATTCATATTAAGTTTCAACGTCTCTAATTGGCCTAAAGTAGGAATTTCCATGTTATTTGGTTGCCTTTTTGAGGCGAAATGATGCTCTCAATGTCTCACAACCCTTTTTGAAGTTTAAGTAATCTAACCGTAATGTAGAGCGACCGGTGATTTGCTCTACAGGGTGCGGCAAAAGTCTGGGAGCCTAGTATTTTTTCGTACAAAACGAGAAGGAAGTACCTAGAAACGGAAAATTTGGCGTACACATAATTCGAACCATTGCAGATACAGCCCAGTTCTCGAATTGCAAAACTGCCTCTTTTGGCTTCCACGCAGCCCTACAAAATCTTGGCAAATCCACCTGTCATGGCACGCAGGTAGTCGTAATGAATTTGCCCCACGTTTTCTCAATAACTGCTTCTTTTACCTTGGCAAATGCGCAGCGTGATAAAGCAAACTTTTGTCTACAGAATACTTCCAAAAGAATTTTCTGCATTGCTTAGGAATAAAAATATTGGATGTTCAATCAGAAGCACGTGTACTTCTCATACCGGAATTTTGGCTACAATTGCGCGAATGAAAACTTAAAAATATCGTTTAAAAAGTATAAAAAGTGTTCCCATGGCCGAATTTCAATAGAGTCTAATTTAGAAGATGTATGCAATAAATACAGCCTTGGTTCCAGTGCCTGTTGAGCATTCTATAGCTTTTTAAATTTGTTCTGAAGATGGATTTCCACTGGCACGTAGGTAATATTCGCAAACTTTTATTTTCCGTTCATGCAAGAACAGCTCCTGGCAAAAGCAAAACTAGGATACAATAGCGCTAAGCCTCTTCTATGTTGTATGTAGCGAAGTTTTGTAAAATATTAACAGCATTTCTAGTCACAGCAAAAATTGTAGATACCAAAAATTCTGGTTTTTTTGCTTTGCAAAAGTACTAGTTTGGTAATTTCCATTCTTACAAAAACATATGGCAACCATTTCCAGCCAAATAAAGTGTATTCTGAGAGGATGACCGCAGTATCATGCGGCATAAAATTGAAATCAAAACCATCAGTATCTTTGTGATTGCAGTACTGCAAAGTTAGGCTCCCAGACTTTTGCCGCACCCTGTATACTGCAAATTTGAGTTGCCAGCTCTACAAAATGATACCTGGACCTTGGCTCGGGTGCAGCCTGGGACGCATCAAAAATTGAAATTATGGCGATTTTTCCCTCGAAACCTTCACGAATCAGAAAGAAAAAACATCTGTCAAAAAGAGGAGAAGAGGATGCATCGAACGACACCCTATCTGTTTGCGCCCGATGTTCTACGAGGTTTGGGATAAACAAATATCAAATTTGATAGCATTAAAATGGTAAGTTTAAAAAATTTGAAAAGCCAGATAGCGACGCCAAGAAATTGTATCACACTGCTTTTTCTTTACTCTATTTAACTGTCATTGAAGCATTTCCAAAAGTTCAGAGCGAAAATGTAAAGAAATATCAAATGTGATTCTGACGATTTTTCAATCAAACATCAAAGGACGAGCAAAACGTGACTGCCGGAAAGTTAAAAGTGTTTATCTTTATTCTGAATGTTTTAAGAATGAGTTTAAAAAAACGGCACAAACTTTCGGACCCACCTGTACACTGTTACTGTTTGTTTTTGATTTTTGAAAATGGGGCCATTACTAACAGATTGTATTATATTAGGTGGGTCCAAAAGTTCGTTCGCCGAATTTTTAAAAAATCATAACTTCCTTTCTTCTCGGTGGAATTTCTTGACTTAATTTTTATTTGAAAGAAGAAACCTTTCTCTTTACAAAAGTAACTTTGACATGAAAGGGCGTGAGAAAGTTCGAGATTTAGAAGCAATTGAATAAATTTACTCAAGATTGGCATTTCTCAAGCTGGATAACGAAAAATTCCGGAAGTGTTATTTTTTGATAGAGAAAATTATGCTCTTTACTATAGTGCCTTTCCCACGAATTAAAACGAAAAAGATCGAAAGTTATCAGCAAATAAAGAGAATTCCTTCAGTTTTGCAATTTTTGAGCATCCCAAAAACGTCACAGAAAAGGCGGGAAAGCCAAGAACAGTTTTGTGACCTTCTCTTTCTAGCTGAGCCAATCGGACCAATCGAGAGCAATTTTGATTTTAGTGAAAAACGCAGACCCGAAAATCCGAAATATTGCGAAAATCAAAATTGCTCTCGTTTGGTCCGACTCTCGCTCAGCTACAAAGAGAAGGCAAAAAAAGCTGTATTCTTGACTTTCCCGTCTTTTTTGTGGCGTTTTTGGGGTTTTTTGGGCATGCTCAAAAATTGCAAAACTGAAGGAATTCTCTTTATTTGTTAATAACTTCCGATCTTTTTCGTTTTAATTCGTGGGAAAGGCACTATAGTAAAGAGCATAATTTTCTCTATCAAATAATAACACTTCCGGAATTTTTCGTGACCCAGCTTGAAAAATGCTGAAAAAAATCTTGAGTAAATTTATTCAATTGCTTCTAAATCTCAAACTTTCTTACGCAATTTCATGGCAAAGATACTTTTGTAAAGAGAATGGTTTCTTCTTTCAAACAAAATTAAAATTAGGAAAATCCATCGAGAAGAAGGAAGTTATAATTTTTTGAAAATTCGGCGAACGAAGTTTGGACCCACCTAATATAATATAATACATATGTCAAGAGGTAGGCATCACACTCTTGACAAATCTAGCAAGCATATAGATAACTTGTCAATTTTCTTGCCATTGGCAAGAGGTTGCTCTCTTTGTAAGGTGGGGCTATATATAGTAAAAAGGCTTCTGAGGTTCGTAAAGAGGCTGCAGACAAGTTTTCGTCCAGTGTTTGGTTTTACTGTTAGAAACACATCAGTGAAAACTGGAATTAAATACTGTGTAGGGAGAATTTATAAGGTTGGGTGATAAGTTCTATCCCATTTTCTTTCGATTTCACAGTATTTTGCGCGGCATTTTGCAAAATGTATATATGCAATTGAAAACTTTAAGTCTGCTCTACCAAAATCTTCACTTCATTTCTTTCATCAATGGAATGTAAAAGTTTTCCAGCATCAGATTTGGAAAACCAAAAAGGAAAAAATCCATTTTCGACAGCCATTGAGCCCCCCCCCCCCCGTTTTGGTCAGAAGACTTACAAAAGGAAAGAATGCGCAGAAAAGTTTCAATAAATTTCTAATGTAACCCAGAAAAAAATCTTCCTTTTAACGTCTTTCCGATGTTGACTTTGGGCATCTGAAGGCAGTCCTGAGAAAGGAAGGTAGACGCATAATCCAGAAAAAAGCAGTAGGGATCGTCGTTGGCTATAAAATCTCTGAATTTATAAATTAGCTACTCAAAAATCTAATGTTTGGGGGATACACAGCTTAGGTAGGCAAGGCGACGAACATCGCTGCAGCAATTTGCTCTGCCTACTCCTAAATGACATTAAGTAGTCGGTAGAAGGAAGGGAACAAGCAGAAACAATGCCATTAGAACGATAAGAGTCTAATAGATTGTTCTGTTTGTTGTCATGCTTATTGAGTAAAAATTACCAATTGAAGACGGGGAAACTTGTAGAGAAAAGGATTTCGAAGATGGATTTTTTACCTCTTTGGATTTTTTGTTCTGATGCCAATATCGTTTTTAAAACCCTGCTAAGTCGGGAGATGCAGCATACTAGTTTGCAGAGCAGACTTAGAGTTTTCAAAAGCATATACACTTTATTCTATATAGGATAACTGTTATTGATAAGAAATCAGGAGAAAATGGGACAGAACTTATTACACAACCCATTATTATCCTATGAGGAAAAAGCGTAAAGAAGTGGACATCATTTCCCTCTGCACAAATTCAGGAAATTTTCGTTTTTCAACCAAAAAACTTTTTAAACTCACAGCATGAGTATGTAGCTCAAAACGCCAAAGAACTGAGCTTTTGGAAATTTGGCCCATACTGGACTATAATTTTTTGCTGTCAGTAGGAAAGTCTAAATGGTTGATATCTGATCGTGTAAACTTTAAATTACTTCTCAAGGTCACAGTAAAAAACTTTGCGCAAAAAACGAACTTATTTCTTTGCCATCCTGATGGAATGCATAAGAGCCATCATTGAAACTTTTGATTTTTTCATTCCAAGGAAAATTGTTATGAAAAAGTCCATGCAGATCTCAGAGAGTTACGCCTTCTCAGAGAGTTACGCCTTTTCGAATATGGCACAAACGAAAATT